AGTATGTTTACCGGAAGACTTTTTGGAAGTCTTCCGGTACATATTTTTTTCGTTTGTTTACCGGAAAACTTTTTGGAAGTCTTCCGATTCATGTTTTTTTTTTAATTTGTAATTAATATTTAAGATTTATTAATTTTATATAAAGACCAATTTAGTAAATTTTTGAATATTATACTTAAAATATAAAAATTCTATAAATAGAGAATCATTTTCAGAATATTTTCTATTTACTATAATTATTAGAATACTAGTATTAAAATCATTTATTTTAAATGATCATAATAGTAGAATTTTCTCAAATATCTTATTAATCTTAAACATTAATAAATAAAATAAATTTAAATATAAGATATAAGTTTACATTATTCAATAGATTTAATCAAATGAAAACATATGTGATAAATAAATAATGTATTTTAACTTAAAATGATCACAATAAGTTAACTTGCAAAATAATATAAGTAATAAATTAATAATGTATTTTATTTAAAATAATCACAATAATAAAATACGCAAATAATGTGTTTTATTTATAGGACTGATATAGTTTTATTGATTATTTAATTTTGAATACTACTATGAATATAGTATTTAATCTATATTTTAGAACTCACATAATTATAAATATAAAAAATATTGTTTTATTACCCATATTTTTATTTAATTAAAAAAAATAAGAATATAAATTTATTATTTGTCTGATCCAGATAAATTTAATTAAAAATACTATATTCATAGTAGTATTTAAAATTAAATAATCAATAAAACTATATCAGTCCTATAAATAAAACACATTATTTGCGTATTCTATTATTGTGATTATTTTAAATAAAATACATTATTAATTTATTACTTATATTATTTTGCAAGTTAACTTATTGTGATCATTTTAAGTTAAAATACATTATTTATTTATCACATATGTTTTCATTTGATTAAATATATTGAATAATGTAAACTTATATCCTATATTTAAATTTATTTTATTTATTAATGTTTAAGATTAATAAGATATTTGAGAAAATTTTACTATTATGATCATTTAAAATAAATGATTTTAATCTCATTGTATTCTAATAATTATAGCAAATAGAAAATATTCTGAAAATAATTCTCTATTTATAGAATTTTTCTATTTTAAGTATAATATTAAAAAATTTACTAAATTGGTCTTTATATAAAGTTAATAAATCTTAAATATTAATTATAAATTAAAAAAAATATGAACCGGAAGACTTCCAAAAAGTCTTCCAGTAAACAAAGGAAAAAATATGAACCGGAAGACTTCCAAAAAGTCTTCCGGTAAACCTACGAAAAAAATGTGAACCGGAAGACTTCCAAAAAGTCTTCCGGTAAACAAATAAAAAAATATAAAAAAATTAAAAAATAATAAATTTTTATACGAGGATATTTTGGTCCAAAAACTTTTAATGTAGGGGTATAAGTACAAGTGTAGGGGTATGAGGTAAAACTTCCCTTTATTGCCCACTATTTGACTTGTTGTATTCCAATCTTTCAACATATTATTGGAATTAAGACTTCTATCCAAGCGGATGCATCTACTACCGTTAGAGCAGATGAATTTGAATATTTGTTACGAGACATAGGATTGATCCTCATAGGCCCATGAGAATCTGCTAACAGTTCGATTCTATATGTTTTTCCATTCACTTCAACATTGAACACCTCACTTAGATTGATAGCAAACTTTGTTCTAACTAAAAATCTAGCAACACCCAACTTCTTCAAGTTTTTTAGTTTCATCATCAGAACGAACGCATACTCCTACTCTACCTGCAACAAATTTAAAGAATCGAGCGCACCATATGTGGCAAGGGAGACCATAACACCGCATCCAGGTAAGTCTCTCGTTATCCACATCTTCCAGTGACCATGGATGAACCTTAGAGAACCAACGGGATAACCAACTTTCCTCTTCCTTAATCAACTTCTTCATATCTCCTTCAACAAATAAGGCATCTTGGACTTTATAAGTTGTACCTGCTTCTGCCACCACTCCGAAAAATGCATTCTCAAACCTTTGAACCTATTCTTTATCAACCTTAAATTGCAAGTGGGCAAAAGAACGATTTATTCCCAGATAATCCTTTTGGAAATCTTTGTGGTTGTTGCTTATATTCCTCCCTGCATGATTATTTCTCAGCCCATTTTTATGTCCACCCAACATCTGAGCAAAGGTAATGTTTGGTTTAATATTCAGATCTTGCTTTTCATAGATATGGTTAGGTCTTCTAGCATGTGTATCCACCACCTTCGAGTGTTGTATATTTCCATCATTGTGAGGCCAAGCACCTGCGCAGTTAAATCTTGGGACATTGGCATAAAGTTTCCTACCATGGATGATAATGTATCAAGTTTTACAGTCATTATTCTAACGTCTTCACAATTTTTGAAATGAACAAATCCATAACGTTTTCCAGTTTGTCTCTTCTTGGTTGGATAACGACCTCCAGCACGATACCATATTCTTTGAATATGTCGAACATCTCTTTGGCCTCAAAACCGTCTGGAAATTTTGTGAAAAAGAATGAGGCCATTTTATCTCCTGCCTCCATATTTGCTTTGCCACCTCTAGAAGTCCACATATCTCCTTGGTGATTTGTGATACTTGATCTTCTTCTTTCACACCTTCCCCCAATCTTCCTGTTGCACAATTCTACTGTCCGCTACCACAACCAAAGGAAGATGCAGACAAACTAAAAGCCTAATAAGAAATACTGGGATGTCAAAAGGGAAAAAAGAACTTATTTTTGAATCTGCCTCAGGGATGTAATGAATATCCTTGATGATAAGATCCCTAGTCCAAAATTAGGAATTTAAACCAAAATCCTCAAAAATCTTCCATAGCTGAGTAACAGATTTCAAGTTGGTAAGTACTTTCAAACATAAGCCGCTTTTCTTATGAATGAAAATATATATATATATATATATATATATATATATATATATATATATATATATATATATATATATATATATATTATTAATAATTTATGGATTTTTTTTTAACTTCTAAAAACAAAACCTCTACCGCATTAGACAAAATACCATTTTTAAATACACATGCTAACTTAGCATATTAACTAATGCCTACGTGTTATGTCACGTATTCAAAATTAATGTTTTTAAAGAATTTTTAATGACAAAAATCTTTTTGTGTAATAAAATAATTCTTTTTATTATAAAATTAACTGTTCAATCCAATCTACTTCTACAATTATCTAAAACGTGTGTATATATATATATATATATATATATATATATATATATATATATATATATATATATATATATATATATATATATATATATATATATATATATATATATATATATATATATATATATATATATATATATATATATATATATATATATATATATATATATATATATATATATATATATATATATATATATATATATATATATATATATATATATATATATATATATATATATATATATATATATATATATATATATATATATATATATATATAAATGAGATGAACTTGTAAGTTGTAATATTTTAATGACCATGTAAATCATATGTTTGGTGTGTTTTTGTAAGGTAAAAATGTAAATAAACATATTACAGTAAATAAACATATTACATAGTCAAACAGACTAAGTAACAATCATATTTATACTTTCAAATTGAAAGATTCAATTCCCCACTTAGTAAAACTTGTAATCCAATTTGATGCGTATGACATTTAAGGTCTTTTTGGATTGATGAAAATGGATGGAATTAAATGAAGTGGAGTTATGTTCTATTGTTTGGATTTATAAAAATTGGATGAAATGAAATGCAATATGATGGAACACATTCCATCCAATACCACTATTTTACTCCATTTTTCATTTCTCAAATTGGGATGTATCCAATGGAATGAGATCGATTAATAAAACAACTACAATTTTATCCTTCAAATTTTCACTTCTATTATTAATGGTTTCTATTCCTTATTTCAATCAACGTGATATTTTTCTATTCATTCACTGCAACTTTTCTCCTTCACAAGCCTTCTTCTTACTTGCAAAAAGTCTATCTTTCTTCTATCCTAACAAGGTACATCATATTTCTTTTCATTTTTTTACCTGTATTTATACGTGTGCTCTATTAAATTAAATATCTTGATTTATCTTCATGTTCATGTCTTTTTCATTTTTTAGAAATTAGGTTACTAAAAACAAAACCTAAAATTATGATTTAGGTTGTTTTATAGTGTTTTGTATGTTAAATTAACTTTTTATTAAGAACAAAAGTATAAATTAGATTTGTTGCAAAACTACTGCTCATGTTGCTTTTCACTACTATTCACGTTGATTATATTCTTATTATATATAGAAAAAAAAACTAAAATTAGTTAGTGTAACATAAAATTGGCTAATAGTATTATGTAGTATAATAGGAAAATAATTATTAGTAACACAAGTTTTGATTTGCTATAAAGATTCTTAATTAATTTGGGATTAACATTATATATTTGATTTGTTTTAAAAATTCTTAATCTATTTGTTCTGATTTTGATATGATTTATTTTATTTGTTATAAATATTTTAATTTGATTTATTTGTATATGGATTTATAATTAGAGTAAATTTTACTGTTTACTTTGTTATAGATGACTAACGAAGACATAAGAATCAAGTATATGAAATTGGTTCAAATGATGATTCTTCAAGTATCTATCATTATTGTTCTAATATGTTCGCTAAAAAACAAGCGTAGAAGATCCCAAATACCTTATAGAATCACAGAGCAAAGAGAGAAAGTTAGAAATGAGTTGATGAAACATATTGTAGAAAGTGAGCGATGTTATGATATCATTCGTATGGGTCCCAAAGCTTTCTTAAACTTGTGCACCTTATTGCAAGATCAAGGTGGACTTACACATACACGAAGAACGTCTATTGAAGAACAAGTAGCAAAATTTCTTCATATAATAGGACATAATGTTAGAAACCGTGTGATGTCCTTCTTTTTTAGACACTCCGGTGAAACTGTTAGTCGTCATTTTCATAGAGTGCTAGATGGTTTGATAGAGGTGGAGGGAAAAATTTTAAAACAACATGATGGAACACAAGTGCCTCCGCAGATACTTAACAACCATAGATTCTACCCGTATTTTAATATAAACAAATTTTTTTGCCTTATACAAATATTGATTAGTTTTCTTGTACACTTTTAATATATAAATTTAATATTAGGACTGTATTGGAACAATTGATTGCACGCATGTGCGTGTTAAAGTTCCAATAAAACTCACACCTAGATACTGTGGTAGAAAAGATTATCCCACACGAAATGTGTTAGCTGCGTGCTCATTTGAATTGAAATTTACATATGTCTTGGTTGGATGGGAAGGAACTGCTTCTAACTCAAGAATAGTTAAGCGTGCGCTAACACGTGCACACCCTCTTAAAATTCCACAAGGTAATAAAAAGTAATTAAAAATATTTGTATAAGTATTTAGATTAGCTAAACTAATGGACTCATTATTTTTTTTAGAAAAATATCATCTGGGTGATGCGAGATTTCCTTTAAAAGCATGTCTCATTACACCGTATAGGGGAGAACGATACCACTTACAAGAATACTCTAGAAATCCACCTCGAAATCCTCGTGAGTTATTCAACCATCGACATTCGTCATTGCGAATGTCTATTGAATGTGCATTTGGAGTGTTGAAGAAAAGATTTCCAATTTTACAAACTGCAGCAAAGCCTACATTTGGTATTAAAACTCAAAATAAAATCATCCTTGCTTGTTGCATTTTACACAACTATTTGATGGGTGAAGACCCCAATCAAACTCTAATTGATGAGGTGCAAGATGAGCTTGCAAACGAAAGAGATGTTTAAGAGGGTCATCAAGATCATATAGAAGAAAACGATGATATGATTAGCGAAGAGCCAATTAGAGATAATGTTGTTGATTCTATGTGGCTAGATTATTAAAATTATTCTTAATGATTTGTTACTCTTACGAATAATGTTTTGAAGAATTTTATTTGGATTGAATTTTTTATTTGTAATTTGTGGAATGAATTTTAGTGTATGGTGAACCTTTACATTTGAATTTGTGCATAAGTTATTATATTCTTCATTGTGTTTTTTAATAATAGACATGGAAGCAAGTTTAAAGAGGCCGAGGAAACTCAAAAGTCTAGAAACATGCAATTGGGCAACTACTATGGATGAAGTTTTGCTTGATGCATATTTGCATCAACAAACATTGGGAAATAAAAATGGTAATAGTATGACAACAAGCGTTATGGATAGCATTCTTAAAGAATTGAAGACTGACTTTCCGGACAAACCAATTTCCAAAGAAAAAATAAAAGATCACATGAAACACATCAAAACAAAGTTCAATTCTTGTTATGACCTTTTCCAGAATGGCTTGAGTGGGTTCGGATGGGATTCAACAACAAATATGTGGATTGCCGAAGATGAAGTTTAGAACAAGCTAATTGAGATATTATTTACTATAATTATTTTATACACTTACCCGATTATTTTTATTTGAGTTCACTCATTAAAAACTTTTTAAGTGATGCATTGTTTCGTTTATTTTGGTGTAGGCAAAACCCGAAGCTGCTGAGTGGAAAAACAAGCCAATATTATTTTATGATAAATTGGCCAAACTTTTTGGAAAAGATCGAGCAACAGGAGAGCATGAAGGTACAACTGCTGAAATGAGAGCAAAAAAGGCTGCAAATGTTGAAAAAAGTCATGGCACAACCATCGAAGAAATAGACCACTTAGTTGAAACCAATGACGTTATTTTGGAGGGATTTGATGACGATGAACATCATTCCAACAATTCTCCTACAAGGCCTTCTATTACCAATTCTCAAGATGTATCATCATCTAGGACTAAGAAGCGAGTAAAGAAGGTTATTGAAGATGATGCAAGCATGATTGAGATTTCCAAAACTTTTAAAAAAATGTTAGATGTGTTTGAAATGAATTCCATGGAGCTGGTCAAACAAGGTAAAAATGCTAATGGTGGAGATATTTGGGCTGAGTTGGTCGAGATTGGGGTTGAACCGAATTCTTTGCCTCTTTTATACATGTACCTTGTTAAGAATGCCGATGCATTGAAAGCTTTTACTGGAATTCCAATCGATAAGCGGAAGGAAATGTTACATCTAATTGTTCCAGACTATCCCTTTTGATAATGGTAATGTTAGAAGTATTTTTCGGAAGTGTTTTATCGTCTCCACAGGGATTGAAGAGAATATAAATGCCAGCCGTTCAACGGTTCAATGACTTAAGAAAATGGGGGGTTTTAAATGGTTTCAATCTTGTAACAAAAGTTTGCAAGAAATAAAGCATAATAAAATTCGGTCTTAAGTTTGACAAAAGCATGCCAAGATTAAGGTTTGCTAGTCCGTCCTAAACGTATTCTACCAATCAAATATGTGAACAAATTTCTAACCAACATAACCGCGTATCCTCGCAAAAACATTCATCTCTAAATCGATTTCGTGAATGTTATTGTTTCGACCGTTAGACGATCTCTCTACCTAACGGATCAGAACAATAAGCTTTAAGAACGATACAAAGCGAATATCAACTTTCAAATCTATCTCTAGCATTTGTATAGATGATAGATGAAGATATTAGGTCAATACTTGGAAAGTTTATCTCTAATACAAACCAAACCAGAAATGTAAAAGTAATGGCAAATAACTTCATCTATATTGATTAAGAACTTGTTCACATACAAGAGATTAAGAAGAATACATAAAATCTGAACCAACTACTCCTAACCTTGACAAGAGAGGGATTTAGCTACTCATTTTCATGATGACTTGAGCAACAAGTTTCGGGAGAAGGTTGATCAACATCCAAGTCGAATAATAGAGAATGGATGGGAATCCACCTTCTTTTTGTGAAATGTTGCTAAAAGATGATGAAGAATGAAGGAAAAGGGTTTCTAGGTCAGAAAACTCCTCTCAATGCAAGTACAAACAAAATAATATCTTTTCCAAAAAGTAGCCCATGCTACTTATAGAAGTGGTTGTGTGCTGTCATGTTCGCTAGATGAGCAGTCATTCGCTAGGCGAATCATTTGCTGCGAAGTTCGCCTAGAGAATTTAGGGTCCTTTCGCCACTGTCCCAATTCTGGGAGTGTTCGCTGCTTGCTCGCTGCTGATTCGCCTAGCGAGTTGTTCGCTACCTCACTCGCCTATCGAGTTTATGCCCCTTTTGCCTCTGTCCAAAATCTGGAGGTGCTCGCTACCTGCTCGCTGGTGCTTCGCCTAGCGAGCTCTTCGCTACCTCATTGCCTAGCAAGTTTATGCTCCTTTTGCCTCTGTCCCAAGTCTGGGAGTGCTCGCTGGCATCTCGCTGCGTCCTTGCCTAGCGAGTGCTTCGCTGCCTCCCTCGCTAGGCGAGCTTGCTGATGTTTGCTTGCTTTCTTGGTTTCTTTGCCAACTTTCTTGTGTCTAAAGTTTCTACTCTTTCATGCTTAAATCCTGCACAATAACACACAAATTAAAGGCACCAAGATCCTTTCACATAATGTTTCAAACCAACCAAAGCGAGAGCGATTTTAAACACTTTCTTGACAAAAAGAAGTGAAAGATGCCCACATTTGATAACTCAAATAAACACATTTGGGCATCTAACAACTCTCCCCAGCTAGAATCTTGCTTGCCCTCAAGCAAAGTATGCCTCTTGATGAACAAGAGGATTTGCTTAAGAAAAGGATTTCTTCGAAGTTGGATCAAATGGCTCAAACACAAGAATTTCCGCCAGACACAAGTTCCTAGTGGTTAGAATAACACAATACACAAGAACTAAAGCCTTAAAGTAATGCAAAACATGTATCAATCCACAACAATGTTATCCTGAATGAATCACCCTATCTCTCCTCTTCGAATAAGGATTGAAGAAATTACGCGTTTGCAACCGCGGGGACAATTTCACTATCCAACAAACAATGCAAAAATCAATTCAATTCATACAATATCTAACAATTATAAATAAAAAATGCCAAAGCAAGGAGATCACTAAGGTCTTTTTGGTTGTAGCTTGGTCGGGTTTACAAACAAGGGACATATCTAAGGCTATTGAAAACGAAATTGCCGATGCAAAAGAGACATTCACTGTACAAACTATTTACACATCTCAACTTCGTTTCACTTGTTTCTTATTTGAAACCTTCACAACTCATTTTTGTTTTCCACTATTTTTCTTCCAAGCAAGCATTTTCTTTCTTTTTTTTTCTTTCTTTTTTTTAATCATATTCACAAAACAAATGTTTCTCTTTTTCTAATTTTTTTCAATGCTTGCTCGGTTACTCAAGAGTTGTGGCAACCTTCCGAATTTCATTTTCGTTCTCCCCAACTTATCTTTTCCTCAACCCTCAAGTGAATGCTCTTGACTTTTTACGGCAAAAGAACAATTAACAAAAAATTTCAGGGTTTCAAGAAAAAAGATTTTGAAATCTCGCCTTATTTCAAGTTGAGATTCAACTGTTTAAGCTCAAAGGGGTTCACGAATACTCTTTGCTCACGGGTAAGTTGTATTTGGAACTGGTTGTGCTCGAAAGGAAACAAGCGCCTTGATCATTTCTAAATGCTTCCACAATTTCACAATAATAAAAGAAAAAGCATGAATCAAATGAATCAACACAGTTTATTAAAATCCAACATTTTAGTGTACAATGGAGGTTTCCTCACAATGTGTGGTTCTAAGTCCTAGGTGACTCATTCATTCAATTATGTTGCAAAAAGAACAACATTCAATTACAACAATAGTAAAGTTCTTCATGCATTCTAAAATTCTAACCGAAGGTAAACATGTACCTTAGCATTATTCACTTGTTTATTTTTATCATTGTCATCCAAGCTCGGGTGCACCTTCATTGGATACTTTTTTTCAGGAGAGCAACCAATCTAGAGGGTTTGACAACTCCACAACCATAAAAATATTAAAAACTTAAACCAACAAAATAATTTTACATAAAAAAACTTAATCATAACTTCGACAAAATCAAATGTGCGTGGGGGAGAAAACACCTCAAAAAGTACATAACCAAATAACTGGAATTCAAATAAAATAACCGAAATACAAAGCAATAAATCAAAAAAAAACTTAGTCCTCTTCGGACTCGGTCTCCTCAATCTCCTCATCACCAGAACCAGAGCCATCCTCATCATCATCATCATCCTCG